TACAGGCCTGCTCTCTCACGCAGCAGGCATAAGTAAAGACAGGCCAATTAGGGCGAGAGGCAGATAACGGGAGCTTTATTTGTATACTAATTAAGCCCCCGATGAAATTAAAGGAGAAGCGTGCCTCTCTGTAATTGTGTGTCTGAGTGAGGTCGCCTTAGGTGGCGTTATCTTAAAAGCGCAGCCCGCAGATAGGTACCTTAATCCAAGGCGGAGGCGCTTTTTCATTGGCGCTGCCGCGCGTCCACGACGATCTGACAGCGGGGCTCATCAGAGGCGCTCATCGCGTCTCCGTCGGGTCTAAACCAGGGGGCAGATCCAATATAAACGTGACACTTCCTCGAAAGCCCGCAATCCCTAGAGAGAATATGCTTGTTCTGCGGCGAAAACATGCTATTTTGGAAAGTAGCCATGGTCGTAATTAATTAAACAAACACTTGGCTTACTCACAATTAACGGCGTTCGTAAACAGTTACTAATTAAAGTGTTATGGTGCGGGATCACTGGATTCTTTGGGCTTTTTACTATATTTATTTTAAAATGTATTAAATTGGATTTAAATGTAAGGGCGGTTTGTGAATGAGAATGAGACAGTCCTACACGGTTTACATATATTATAGGCTATGCTATAATTATATAGAAAGAAGATGTATGGGGGGAAAAAATAAGTGGAAAAAGACATAATTGATTTGAAAGCATAAAAGATGTAACGCATGTTTATTATCGGACGTCTTTCCGTGCTCTTGTTTGTTAAGAGCTGAATAGTAGCCTGCGCTCTATGCGCTCCTCAGAAGCGATTTCTCCCTTATTAGAGATAATGTTGAGATGCGACCCCCGCGAAGCGCTGTCACGGCCGGCCACGTGGCGGGGGGATCAAACGCGGCGCGATCCCGCGACCTGACAGGTCCCAGCGTGCGCCCGTGTTCCTCATCGCGGAGCCCAATTCAGCACATTTACTACCCGCGCCTCAAATTGAAATAATTGCTGGCGAGATGAAAATATTAATGATGTAATAATGTGTCCGGGATAAACTGGAGGTTTTCCGAAGGAAAAAAAAATCAAAGAGTCGCGATGAAAGCGGAGAAAGAGAATGAGATATGAAGCGCTGACGAGCATTTATACGCATCTACCTCATTCCCAGTGCCGTTTCTGTATTGGTCCAGCTTCACGACTCAACTAGTTCCGTAGCTGGTTAAGCAGTGGTTGAATGATCCTAGTCTAGTATTTGTGGAGTCTAAACAACTCATAGACTACAGGTTTATACTTGACAGAGACATATCACAAGGCGCTAACGCAATCGTCGGGGCCACTCGCTGACCTGAGAAAGGTATTAAATGTTGGGAAGGATTTTCTCCCTACACTTCTGAACCCCCCCCCAACTCTGTGAATGTTAACGTACCTCCGCCTAATTCACGATACCTACTTCCATCTTTATAACTGTCTGCAGTTCCTTACCGTATTTCTGCTAATATCTGCATCAGACTTTAGAAGACCGGAGGACCTCCCTGACGAGCCACGTTAAGCACACACGTTCTCCTTATCATGGATTTGTTAGGAACGACGCAGTAGCAAAAAAATGTAACAGCAGGGGTCACCTCTGGGGGGGGGGGGATACTTTATGAGACAGGAAGCTTGCTTTACCCCTCCCCATCCCGCATTGCACTCAAATGCCCCTGACTGCATGTTCTTCTTTTAGCGTAGCTGAGGTGAAGATTGCAGAAGCGAACCACGTACCCACCTCCCTCTAAGATCCATGAGGTTTTATGGTTTAGCTCGCATTGCCGGGCAATTAAAATTTTACAGGCGTGATTACTTATTTTCCCAGCGGACCGCCCGTAATCACCCTGAGTGTGTAATGAGTTTGCGGCCTTGGTCCACCAAACATGTCCTCCCTACCACTCATCATCTCAAGGCTGCAATTATCAGTGGCGTCTAACGCGAGTGAATGGGATCGTCGACGTCGCTAATATTCATTAGCATGTCTGACAGATACAATGGCTGTTATGTATGATTTTATAAAGCGCCCGCCTCTCACGGCCCCGTCAAACGAGGCTTCGTGGCATCGTTAGTCACGTGTCATCACGTATGTGACATCCCCCGGATCCTAATTGCTCAGGCGCTCTTCTGGTGTCGGGCGAATTAAGGCCGATTTATTGACAGTCCCTTGGCCAACTCAGGGTAGGGATTTGATTCGCCGTCTTCAGGAAGGAGCAAACGGCGGCAACACACGCTGACTTTGTCTCGCGGGATGCCTTCGCATTGCAACTGATGCGCTACATGTCAAGCTGGGACGGTGGAAATCGCTTTCCCGTTCGAGCGGCGCCAAGCAGCGTACTGGAGGCTCCTTTCTGACTCCGCCCCCAGACACGGAGGCCCCGTTTAATCTCCTAAAGTAATAAAAGGCATCGAGCAGGAGAAAAAAATGGCAGAACTTTTCCGAAGTGCCCTGGACGGCAAGGAGGCTTCGCTGCAATTACTGGCGATTGATGGGAGATCCTGCGCCAAGGGAAACAGTCGCATTTCACCAAATAAAACCCCCGGAATGAGGGAAATGGGATTTGAGGACCTGGAAGAAAGACGCGGATGGCATTAGCAGTTTCCTGCAGACGTTCATGTGCCGGGGGTGTGAAGGGACCGCCGAGGCTGGACCCCGCATCCCCCAGCGTCTGTCGGGTTCGAGGAAATGCGGTCCAGCTTACGGCTGCCACGGGACCCCATAATGATATATGTCACTCACACTGGATCCGGACTACTGGGATACTTGATGTTGTCCAAAATGAAAAGTGATAGCTTGGAATAGGAGGCAGACAGGAAGTCCAAGATAAGCTGAATTTACGATTCCCATCCTCACCAGAATACACTACCGTGTGGTACTGGGAGCAGTGGGATGTGTATGTTAAAACACTGTGCATATTCCTAAAAGGTACCAGAATGTTCCAGACACTGTATGGTGAGTTAAAACTTTACCAGTGCCCCCACCCCCACAGAGTGACTGGGGGGGGGGGGGGGGGTGTGGAGTCGTCCATGTCGCATTCTTAATGAGGCTGTGAAGGAGCCACGGATCGACTTAAAGACGGCCGTCAGCGGACGGCAGGTGTTTTGGAGCCAGCAGGCGTGAGCAGACACTGGAGAAGGCGCCGAAGGGAGGGAATGATCCAGAAAGGAGTGGGCAGGCATCGCGGCGAACGCTTACGGCGACAGCAGCTGGCAGCGGCCCGGCCTCCGCCGCGGCCCTAACGACGCCGGAGCGTGATGAATGGCCTCTCGCTGCAGGCTGGGGGGGAGGGTGAACCCGATCCAGGATGAGGTGGGCCGACTCAAAGGCCAAAAAGCATATCATCTCCGAGAGCTAGGTACCTGATAGGGCAGCATACCTGCGGGGCCTCGGAAGCTGGAGCGAGGGGGGCTAGACTCTGTGGGCTATCCCAACATCTATGGCCCGAAACTCTGCCCCCTGACAAGCCCCCCGTGGGGTCACGACCTCTGGCTCCAAGAAAGGACACTGCTAGCCAATTTCAATGGTCAAACGTAATGCTAAGTAACAGTCAGCCTGAACGGTTTAAATAACTCATATCCAGTTTCAGGTGTATTGCTTATTCATCAGGTTTGCAAAGGAAAACAATACTGAACAAATAAATGTTTCACATTACGGCTTTTAATGTTTGCTTTGATGAACGCACACATTAAATCACACTGACGTCCGGTAATATTTCACATTTAATCACGCTTATTCATTGATTTGCGTTATTTAAGAAATGCATTTTTGGCAATTTACTAATTACGCGACTGTAATTTGTTGCGATTCACATTCACAGCTTTGATTAATTAACTGGAGCGAGGGGTTCTTATGATTAATTCGTGACAGCAACCTCGCTATTCCATTCTATCTCAAAATAGTAAATCAAAGCCGCAGACCGCGAGCAATCCTCCCGCGACGCGGCTATCGCGCTTTAATTACGTTTACCAGTGTCGCCTCGCTTGATCCGAAAAATAATAAATAAACCCAAGCGAAAGGTAGGGAATGATGTCATAGAGGCAGGAGTGGTGGGTGGAGCTGACAGGGCGCCGCGCGTCCTGCCGGGGACGCCAGCGCACCATCAGCCCTCTAAGCGCAATTTGGCGCCGCCCGTCAGTTCGCCGCTGATCCATGCACTGGCCTGCTGCCCCGTTACCCCTCTGCCCTACGGCTTTCTGACACCGCCTCATGAATAATTAAAGGTTGCTGGACAGGGAGGCGCTCAGGAACTCCTTCCCTCCCTCCCTCTCTCTCTCTCTCTCTCTCTCTCTCTCGCTTTGGACACTGCAGGAGCCCAGCACGGCCTAACTGTGCCCCCCCCCCCGCCAGTGCCCTGGGACAACCTCAGGACATGATTCTCTTGCATTTGTTTTGTCGGGAAAAAAAAAAGAAATCGCCAGAGGCTGCACCCCTGTGACAGTCCCCTGTGCACAGCGGAACCGGACAATACAAACGTGCGCCCCGCTTGCGGCAAACCGTGTCCGTTAAAAAAAAAAAAANCCCCCCCCCCCCACGCACTGACTGACAAAGTGGATTGAAAACACAACCTCCTGGGCTTCAGACCCAGTACACAGGAGGACATAGATGTGCTGTTTTTTTATTCGAGCAGAGTTCTGTAGCTAAGCGATCCAGTTAGCATCAGATCGCATGCATTATTCACGTCTGCACATTGGTCCAAAATTCCTATTCTGACAGGCTGCATGGTGCTTCCAGAAATGAGGGTTTACAGGGCGGCTGCCGGAGCACGGATCTGCACGCATGCTGGGTGTTGGCCTGCTGTTGGACACCTGTGTTTGCTCTGACCTCTCTCAGGCCAGGGCGGGTGCCAAGGTAAGGTGGTGTTTAGGAGACCCACCTCGGCAGCCCTCACGGGGAGCTTTTAGTGGGGGCATAGAAGAAGGAGATGGTGGCTAAAATTGAGGTGACACTGACTCACACCAGGTTTACCCCAGACATCTCCACAAACCAATATTAGATAGATAGATAGATAGATTAGATTTTATTGATCCTGAAGGATATTTAGGCATCCAGTAGCTTTAATACACTCAAATGCACACAATAATACAAATAATAAAAACATTCGAGGATTGTGGAGGTGGAGGCAGAGAGGGTGTCTATGGCTGCTGTCAATACCTTGAAAAGTCGCAAGAATAATACTTGCTACTGTACATAATATACATAATAAATGTGAATTATTAAACTAAATCTCGGGGAAAAACTCACAAATACCCCCCGAGGTGTTATTTGCAGTGAAGCGACGTATCAGGCACCCAGTCTGATGGGACCAGAGTCTGTGGGGATTTGGCCAATAAAAGGCCCTTGGCAAAGCCTAAATGGCGGCCTGAGAGCCAGGTCCACAGGATGGGGCGGGGCCCGGACCACATGGTGGGCGGGGCCAGGACCACAGGAAGGGCGGAGCCGGAACCACAGGGTGGGCGGAGCCGGGACGAGCGGCTGACAGGTGGTTACGGGGAATCACTGTTAAGCTCCTGCCAAAACAGATAGTAAAGACAATCTTCAGAGACGTCTCTGTACTGTATGTTTAATGGCAATCTGGAAAAGGGGCGGGGCTTTAAGCAAGTAAACCCCCCTCCCCAGCAGAATGGGCGGGGTCTGATTTCCCATATAGTTACTTTGGGTCGCGTCTGCAGTGGCCCCCACCAAAGGCAACAGAAACCTAAGGCCTTGTCTTCAGTACTGACAAATAATACATTTCAGCAAATGACAGCCAAATAGGAAGACATTTTTATTATTATTATTATTATTATTATTATTATTTTGCTGATCTAGTTAATAACAGAGGGAGTATCTGGAAGTGTCTGGACAGGAGCCGCATCCAGAGCCTATGTAGGTTAGTACTTGCCAACCTTTCTCATGCAGGCTGACTGAGAAGCTGGTTTATAGATTTATATGCATTTATGAATATCCCAGAATGCATCTGCCATGACCAGCAACAGAATTCCTTTTACGGAACAAATTAACATGTCATTTGAAGTCTTTATTGACAAACAGATATTCATAAATGGATGTAACCCATGAATATACATAAATGCTTCTGAGCATCTTGTACAATAGATAGTGAAAAATCAAAGTGTGATTGTTTAATAAATTAGAGAAAGGTTCCTGCTGTCATTACAATAATGTTTATTATGAAGTGTTTGTGGCTACAGGTGATCAGTTTTACTTACATTTTGTGTTTCCAAATTGAGTGTGTGTATGTGTTTATACACACAAAGGTCACCTCTTCATCGCCCCAAAATGGCAAGTTTCTAAGGTGATACCAGTCCTACGTCCTGCACCTGGGGGGGGGGTGAATATGTGGCAGGGAGGATGGACTCCCTCCTAGGGCCCCCGTGTCGTCCAACCCCAAGACCCGCATCCACCTGGCCTGACAGGTTCTGGAGGAATGCAGGCTGTTCTACATGTCAATATATGTCCTATTTTCACACATGCACAGTTAATTATGTAACCCCCCTCCCCCATCATGTATGTCAGTCTGCCATCAGTCTTGTTTCCTTCACTCGTAAATTAATCCTGGTCCGGTCCTCCAGTTTTAAGATGGGTGGGGGGGTGGGGCATGAAATGATAATACAAGGTTCAGTTGCCGTGACGAGCGATGGGCCGGACCGTCATTCCAGGTTGCCGGGGGGAGAAGAGCAGCAGCACAGATTCCTCGGTTCAGGAAAAAACTCGGATAAATCAAATTTAATAACTAGGCGTCTAATTGCCCCTAGCCCAGCCCGTACCCGCTGGGGCCCCTCCTAATTACGCGGGGAGCTCTCCGCCATGTCACCTGATATTAAGTTGTCGGCACGGAGCTGAGATAATCGATAAACATTTAGCAGGGGGAAGACGATGAAGATTCCTGCATGGCAGTGGGAAATTCCAGCACCCAGAGCCCACCTCTTCACAGATAAGCCTCCGCAGGCAGCCAGAGGGATTGCAGAGCAATAATCTAGGGTGTCTCTCCCCCAGCCCGCAGGCTTCAAGGCAACACCTTGCCAGAGCGAGAGAGAGGTGAATCCGGTCACCTAATTACAGGCCTGCTCTCTCACGCAGCAGGCATAAGTAAAGACAGGCCAATTAGGGCGAGAGGCAGATAACGGGAGCTTTATTTGTATACTAATTAAGCCCCCGATGAAATTAAAGGAGAAGCGTGCCTCTCTGTAATTGTGTGTCTGAGTGAGGTCGCCTTAGGTGGCGTTATCTTAAAAGCGCAGCCCGCAGATAGGTACCTTAATCCAAGGCGGAGGCGCTTTTTCATTGGCGCTGCCGCGCGTCCACGACGATCTGACAGCGGGGCTCATCAGAGGCGCTCATCGCGTCTCCGTCGGGTCTAAACCAGGGGGCAGATCCAATATAAACGTGACACTTCCTCGAAAGCCCGCAATCCCTAGAGAGAATATGCTTGTTCTGCGGCGAAAACATGCTATTTTGGAAAGTAGCCATGGTCGTAATTAATTAAACAAACACTTGGCTTACTCACAATTAACGGCGTTCGTAAACAGTTACTAATTAAAGTGTTATGGTGCGGGATCACTGGATTCTTTGGGCTTTTTACTATATTTATTTTAAAATGTATTAAATTGGATTTAAATGTAAGGGCGGTTTGTGAATGAGAATGAGACAGTCCTACACGGTTTACATATATTATAGGCTATGCTATAATTATATAGAAAGAAGATGTATGGGGGGAAAAAATAAGTGGAAAAAGACATAATTGATTTGAAAGCATAAAAGATGTAACGCATGTTTATTATCGGACGTCTTTCCGTGCTCTTGTTTGTTAAGAGCTGAATAGTAGCCTGCGCTCTATGCGCTCCTCAGAAGCGATTTCTCCCTTATTAGAGATAATGTTGAGATGCGACCCCCGCGAAGCGCTGTCACGGCCGGCCACGTGGCGGGGGGATCAAACGCGGCGCGATCCCGCGACCTGACAGGTCCCAGCGTGCGCCCGTGTTCCTCATCGCGGAGCCCAATTCAGCACATTTACTACCCGCGCCTCAAATTGAAATAATTGCTGGCGAGATGAAAATATTAATGATGTAATAATGTGTCCGGGATAAACTGGAGGTTTTCCGAAGGAAAAAAAAATCAAAGAGTCGCGATGAAAGCGGAGAAAGAGAATGAGATATGAAGCGCTGACGAGCATTTATACGCATCTACCTCATTCCCAGTGCCGTTTCTGTATTGGTCCAGCTTCACGACTCAACTAGTTCCGTAGCTGGTTAAGCAGTGGTTGAATGATCCTAGTCTAGTATTTGTGGAGTCTAAACAACTCATAGACTACAGGTTTATACTTGACAGAGACATATCACAAGGCGCTAACGCAATCGTCGGGGCCACTCGCTGACCTGAGAAAGGTATTAAATGTTGGGAAGGATTTTCTCCCTACACTTCTGAACCCCCCCCCAACTCTGTGAATGTTAACGTACCTCCGCCTAATTCACGATACCTACTTCCATCTTTATAACTGTCTGCAGTTCCTTACCGTATTTCTGCTAATATCTGCATCAGACTTTAGAAGACCGGAGGACCTCCCTGACGAGCCACGTTAAGCACACACGTTCTCCTTATCATGGATTTGTTAGGAACGACGCAGTAGCAAAAAAATGTAACAGCAGGGGTCACCTCTGGGGGGGGGGGGATACTTTATGAGACAGGAAGCTTGCTTTACCCCTCCCCATCCCGCATTGCACTCAAATGCCCCTGACTGCATGTTCTTCTTTTAGCGTAGCTGAGGTGAAGATTGCAGAAGCGAACCACGTACCCACCTCCCTCTAAGATCCATGAGGTTTTATGGTTTAGCTCGCATTGCCGGGCAATTAAAATTTTACAGGCGTGATTACTTATTTTCCCAGCGGACCGCCCGTAATCACCCTGAGTGTGTAATGAGTTTGCGGCCTTGGTCCACCAAACATGTCCTCCCTACCACTCATCATCTCAAGGCTGCAATTATCAGTGGCGTCTAACGCGAGTGAATGGGATCGTCGACGTCGCTAATATTCATTAGCATGTCTGACAGATACAATGGCTGTTATGTATGATTTTATAAAGCGCCCGCCTCTCACGGCCCCGTCAAACGAGGCTTCGTGGCATCGTTAGTCACGTGTCATCACGTATGTGACATCCCCCGGATCCTAATTGCTCAGGCGCTCTTCTGGTGTCGGGCGAATTAAGGCCGATTTATTGACAGTCCCTTGGCCAACTCAGGGTAGGGATTTGATTCGCCGTCTTCAGGAAGGAGCAAACGGCGGCAACACACGCTGACTTTGTCTCGCGGGATGCCTTCGCATTGCAACTGATGCGCTACATGTCAAGCTGGGACGGTGGAAATCGCTTTCCCGTTCGAGCGGCGCCAAGCAGCGTACTGGAGGCTCCTTTCTGACTCCGCCCCCAGACACGGAGGCCCCGTTTAATCTCCTAAAGTAATAAAAGGCATCGAGCAGGAGAAAAAAATGGCAGAACTTTTCCGAAGTGCCCTGGACGGCAAGGAGGCTTCGCTGCAATTACTGGCGATTGATGGGAGATCCTGCGCCAAGGGAAACAGTCGCATTTCACCAAATAAAACCCCCGGAATGAGGGAAATGGGATTTGAGGACCTGGAAGAAAGACGCGGATGGCATTAGCAGTTTCCTGCAGACGTTCATGTGCCGGGGGTGTGAAGGGACCGCCGAGGCTGGACCCCGCATCCCCCAGCGTCTGTCGGGTTCGAGGAAATGCGGTCCAGCTTACGGCTGCCACGGGACCCCATAATGATATATGTCACTCACACTGGATCCGGACTACTGGGATACTTGATGTTGTCCAAAATGAAAAGTGATAGCTTGGAATAGGAGGCAGACAGGAAGTCCAAGATAAGCTGAATTTACGATTCCCATCCTCACCAGAATACACTACCGTGTGGTACTGGGAGCAGTGGGATGTGTATGTTAAAACACTGTGCATATTCCTAAAAGGTACCAGAATGTTCCAGACACTGTATGGTGAGTTAAAACTTTACCAGTGCCCCCACCCCCACAGAGTGACTGGGGGGGGGGGGGGGGGTGTGGAGTCGTCCATGTCGCATTCTTAATGAGGCTGTGAAGGAGCCACGGATCGACTTAAAGACGGCCGTCAGCGGACGGCAGGTGTTTTGGAGCCAGCAGGCGTGAGCAGACACTGGAGAAGGCGCCGAAGGGAGGGAATGATCCAGAAAGGAGTGGGCAGGCATCGCGGCGAACGCTTACGGCGACAGCAGCTGGCAGCGGCCCGGCCTCCGCCGCGGCCCTAACGACGCCGGAGCGTGATGAATGGCCTCTCGCTGCAGGCTGGGGGGGAGGGTGAACCCGATCCAGGATGAGGTGGGCCGACTCAAAGGCCAAAAAGCATATCATCTCCGAGAGCTAGGTACCTGATAGGGCAGCATACCTGCGGGGCCTCGGAAGCTGGAGCGAGGGGGGCTAGACTCTGTGGGCTATCCCAACATCTATGGCCCGAAACTCTGCCCCCTGACAAGCCCCCCGTGGGGTCACGACCTCTGGCTCCAAGAAAGGACACTGCTAGCCAATTTCAATGGTCAAACGTAATGCTAAGTAACAGTCAGCCTGAACGGTTTAAATAACTCATATCCAGTTTCAGGTGTATTGCTTATTCATCAGGTTTGCAAAGGAAAACAATACTGAACAAATAAATGTTTCACATTACGGCTTTTAATGTTTGCTTTGATGAACGCACACATTAAATCACACTGACGTCCGGTAATATTTCACATTTAATCACGCTTATTCATTGATTTGCGTTATTTAAGAAATGCATTTTTGGCAATTTACTAATTACGCGACTGTAATTTGTTGCGATTCACATTCACAGCTTTGATTAATTAACTGGAGCGAGGGGTTCTTATGATTAATTCGTGACAGCAACCTCGCTATTCCATTCTATCTCAAAATAGTAAATCAAAGCCGCAGACCGCGAGCAATCCTCCCGCGACGCGGCTATCGCGCTTTAATTACGTTTACCAGTGTCGCCTCGCTTGATCCGAAAAATAATAAATAAACCCAAGCGAAAGGTAGGGAATGATGTCATAGAGGCAGGAGTGGTGGGTGGAGCTGACAGGGCGCCGCGCGTCCTGCCGGGGACGCCAGCGCACCATCAGCCCTCTAAGCGCAATTTGGCGCCGCCCGTCAGTTCGCCGCTGATCCATGCACTGGCCTGCTGCCCCGTTACCCCTCTGCCCTACGGCTTTCTGACACCGCCTCATGAATAATTAAAGGTTGCTGGACAGGGAGGCGCTCAGGAACTCCTTCCCTCCCTCCCTCTCTCTCTCTCTCTCTCTCTCTCTCTCGCTTTGGACACTGCAGGAGCCCAGCACGGCCTAACTGTGCCCCCCCCCCCGCCAGTGCCCTGGGACAACCTCAGGACATGATTCTCTTGCATTTGTTTTGTCGGGAAAAAAAAAAGAAATCGCCAGAGGCTGCACCCCTGTGACAGTCCCCTGTGCACAGCGGAACCGGACAATACAAACGTGCGCCCCGCTTGCGGCAAACCGTGTCCGTTAAAAAAAAAAAAACAAAAACAAAAAAACTGGTGGCGTCAGCTATTAAGCTCATCCGGCATGGCGCTGATGATAAGAAGCGGGTAATTAACAGGATCAATCAAAATTAACAACACAGGAGAGTTCAGGAGACTCCCAGAGTCTCATTCTTGGACCTTCTTACCTCTAACAATGGCAGAAACCCAACACCCCCCCCCCACACACACACACACACAAATACCTCCAGAACTTGAAACTCAATCATAATTACACAGCAGGGGGACAAGACTGAAGGTGACAAGGGAAAGGGGGGCAATGAGGCCCCTTCTGTAAGCAAATCCACTCCCTCCACTCTACAGTCGCTTCGATATACAGTTATAAATATCACCAGCCGCTTTTTGCCATCAAGCATAAGATATAAGGACAGCGCTGCCTGTTTCCAGTTTGCGTCTGTCGTGCGGAGAGGAAGCAGTTTGAGATTTCCGTAGCTTTACGTCAGGAATCTCCCTGAAGCTTGCTCACCCTCTTATGGCAGGGTAAGGTAAACAGCATTATGCAATTAATTTCGAAACTGAAGGAAAGCAGCATTAAATCAAGCTGAGATTAGCAGGAAGCAGCGAGTCTGCGAGTCGTAATGGTGGATTTGGCGAGTTCCTGCCCAGTGAAGCAGGAGTGGGTAAAGCTGTTTCCTGCAGCTGAACGTCAAACCTCCACCTTTAATAACGCTGGCAGGATCTGACCAGATGGGGGCGTCGAGGAGCATTAAGAGGAAAATGTCCGACCCTTTGACTCGCCTCAGCATCCTGTGTTTTTGGCCTGGGGGGCTAAGGAGCCGCTATGCTGGTTCTCAGAGGCACCAACGCTCCTCTGAAACCAGCCGCGGGGACCCAACACCCACCCGGGGGCGCGGGTGTCACCTCCCACACGGCGCGCCTGCGATGGAGGCTGCTCACCCGGCGCCTGCGGCAGGACCCTCCGCGAGGTGGGGGGGGGGCGGCTCATTAAATGAGCCGGGTGGCTGTTTCGCCTGCCAGGTCTGCATCACATGGGCCGGCGCTTCAGCACAGGTAAACAGAAAGAAGCAAGAAGCACGAAAACAAAATATCCACCGAACATCCCTACATCCATCCATCCTTAAATCCATCCCTACATTCATCCACCCATCCCGATATCCATGCATCCATCCCTAAATCTATCCCTACATCCATCCATCCTTAAATCCATCCCTACATCCATCCACCCCGATATACATGCATCCATCCCTAAATCTATCCCTACATCCATCCCTCCCTACATCCATCCATTTCGACATCCATCCATCAATCCATACATCCATCCTTACATCCATCCACTCATCCCTACATCAATCCATCCATCCCTACATCCATCCATCACTACACCCATCCATCCTTACATCCATCCACTCATCCCTACATCAATCCATCCATCCATCCCTACATCCATCCATCCAAGAGCGGCCTATCCGAGTCGGGTCATGCAGGTCTGCTGAGGATGCAGACCTGGATGGCCTGCAAATGACTGCACAAACATGAAGCTAAAATACTGATCAGTCTGATTATCCAAACATTTATTAACTGCTTGCGCATTTTACCCTAAAAGAATGTTCTGGAACTTTAGTGACAGCCCTTTCATTCCTCCTCATTGTTCACTGAGCTCCTCTAGGACTCATCTCAGTCAGATTCACTCTGGACACGCTGTGCCTCGTGAGTTTTTTGTTGCCGCCAGACCAGGAGACATCCTCCTAGGCTTTCGGACCTACGATGTCCCCCGTCCCGCACGTCTGGAGAGGAAGTCAGCTTTCCCCTCATGTTTATCTCCGTGCTCTCGTGACGTCAAGCTCCCACCGGAGGGTTCGAAAACCCGAACGTGTCGAAGCTATAAATTTGCATCTCTCTGCGCATTCTTGCTCGCCCAGATCACCGGCCGTTCCCCGCGGCCTCTCTCCGTCCTCCGGCATCCGCTGCTCTCCTCTCCCAGATTTCTGGCCCCTTTGAAAACAATGGCCACGGCCCGGAATCCGTTGAGACCCCGCGGGGCGAGAGGTCGGCGTCGAGG